GTGACTGCTGGCCCACTTGGGTGTGGCTGCTGGCTTGCTTGTGTGTGGCTCCTGGCCTGTTTGGGTGTGGCTTCTGACCTGCTTGGGTGTGGCTGCTGGCCGGCGTAGTGCTGCCGCCACTACTGGGTGTGCTGCTGGCCTACTGGGTGTGGCTGCTGGTGTTTGGTTGCTGTTTGGTTGTGTGGCCTGGCCTGCCTGGGTTTGGCTGCTGGCCTGCTTGGGTGTGTTGCTGCTGGCCTACTTGGGTGTGCTGGCCTGCCTGGGTTTGGCTGCTGGCCTGCTGGCTGCTGGGCATGTTTGCTGCTTGGGTGTGGCTGCTGGCCTGCCTGGGTTTGGCATGCCTGGCCTCCTTGGGTGTGGCTGCTGGCCTGCTTGGGTGTGGCTGCTGGGGATGCTGGCTCCTGGGTGGCTGGGTGGCTGCTGTGGCTGCAAGGCTGGCCTGCCTGCGCTGCTTCTGCTTGGGGTGTGGCTGCTGGCCTGCTTGGGTGTGGCTGCTGGCCTGCTTGGGTGTGGCTGCTGGCCTGCTTGGTGTGCTGCCGGTCTTGGGATGCTGCTGGCCCACGGGGTGTGGCTGCTGGCCTGCTTGCGTGGCTGCTGGCCTGCTGGGTGTAGCTGCTGCTTGGGGGTGTGGCTGCTGGCCTGCTTTGAGTGTGGCTGCTAGCTGTGGGGTGGTCGGCTGCTGGCCTGCTTGGGTGTGGCTTGCTGGCCTGCTTGGGTGTGGCTGCTGGCCTGCTGCGTGGCTGCTGGCCTGGCTTGGGTGTGGCTGCTGGCCTGCTTGGGTGTGGCTGCTGGCCTGCTTGGGTGTGGCTGCTGGCCTGTTTTGGGTGTGGCTGCTGGCCTACTTGGGTGGCTGCTGGCCTGCCTGCGTGGCTGCTGGCCTGCTTGCGTGGCTGCTGGCCTGCCAGTACGCTGGTCACTTGGGCAGTGTGGCTGCTGCGTTTGTGGCTGCTGGCCTGTTTGGTGTGGCTATTACTGGCCTGCTTTGCGTGTGGCTGCTGGCCTGCTTGGGTGTGGCTGCTGGTTTGCTTGGGTGTGGCTGCTGGCTTGTTTGGGTGTGGGCTGCTGGCCTGCTTGGATGTGGGTTGCCGGCTCGCTTGGGTGTACAAGCGGCCTGCTTGGGCGTGGCTGCTGGCCTGCTTGGGTGTGGCTGCTGGCCTACTTGGGTGTGGCTGCTGGCCTGCCTGCGTGGCTGCTGGCCTGCTTGGGTGTGGCTGCTGGCCTGCTTTGGGGTGGCTGCTGGCCTACGGGTGTGGCTGCTGGCATGCTGGGGTGTGGCTAAGGGCCTGCTTGCAGTGTGTGGCTACTGGCCTGTTGCGTGGCTGCTGGCCTGCTTGGGTGTGTGGCTGCTGGCTTGTTTGGGTGTGGCTGCTGGCCTGCTTGGATGTGGCTGCTGGTCTGCTTGGGCGTGGCTGCTGGCCTACTTGGGTGTGGCTGCTGGCCTGCCTGGGTGTGGCTGCTGGCCTGCGTAAGTGTGGCTGCTGGCCTAAGCTTGGGTGTGGCTGCTGGTTTGTTTGGTGTGGCTGCTGGCCTGTTTGGGTGTGGCTGCTGGCCTGTTTGGGTGTGGCTGCTGGCTTGCTTGGGTGTGGCTGCTGGCCTGCTTGGGTGTGGCTACACCTGCTTGGGTGGCTGCTGGCTTGCTTGGGTGTGGCTGCTGGCCTGCTTGGGTGTGGCTGCTGGCCTGCTTTGGGTGTGGCTGCTGGCCTGCTTGGGTGTGGCTGCTGGCTTGCCGGTGTGGCTGCTGGCCTGCTTGGGTGTGGCTGGCCCCGTTTCGGTGTGGCTGCTGGCTTTGCTTTTGGGCTGCTGGTTTGTTGGTGGCTGCTGGTCTGCTTGGGTGTGGCTGCTGGCCTGTTTTGGGTGTGGCTGCTGGTTTGCTTGGGTGTGGCTGCTGGCCTGCTTGGGTGTGGCTGCTGGTTTGCTTTGGGTGTACGCTGCCTGCTGGGTGTACGCTGGCTCCACAGTGGTTGCTGGCCTGTTTGGGTGTGGCTGCTGGCCTGCTTGGGTGTGGCTGCTGGTCTGCTTGCGTGGTGGCTGCTGGCCTGTTTGGGTGTGGCTGCTGGCTTGCTTGGTGTGGCTGCTGGCCTGCTTGCGTGTGGCTGCTGCCCTGCCTGGGTGTGGCTGCTGGCTTGCAGGTGTGGCTGCTGGCCTGCTTGCGTGTGGCTGCTACTTGCTTGGGTGTGGCTGCTGGCTTGCTTTTGCGTGGCTGCTGGCCTGTTTTGCGCAGGCTGCTGGTTTGTTTGGGTGTGGCTGCTGGCCTGCTTGGGTGTATTGCTGGTTTGCTTGGTGTGGCTGCTGGCCTGCTTGCGGTGGCTGCTGGCTTGCTTGCGGTGGCCGGCCTGCTTTGGTGCGTGGCTGCTGGCCTGCTTGGGTGTGGCTGCTGGCTTGCTTTGGGTGTGGCTGCTGGCCTGCCGGTGTGTGGTTGCTGGCTTGCGTTCGCGTGTGGCTGCTGACCTGCTTGGGTGTGTGGCTGCTGGTTTGCTTGGGTGTGGCTGCTGGCCTGCATGCGTGTGGCTGCTGGCTTGCCGGGTGTGGCTGCTGGCTTGCTTGGGTGTGGCTGCTGGCTTGCTTGCGTGTGGCTGCTGGCTTGCTTGGGTGTGGCTGCTGGCTTGCTTAGGTGTGGCTGCTGGCCTGCTTGCGTGTGGCTGCTGGTCTGCTTGGGTGTGGCTGCTGGCCCGTTTGGATGTAGGCTGCTGGCTTGTTTAAAGTGTGGCTGCTGGCCTGTTGGGTGTGGCTGCTGGCCTGCTTGGGTGTGTGGCTGCTGGCCTGTTTGGGTGTGTGGCTGCTGGCTTGTTTTGGGTGTGCCGCTGGCCTGTTAGGTGGCTGCTGGCCTGCTTGGGTGTGTGGCTGCTGGCCTGCTTGGGTGCTGCTGGCTTGCTTGGGTGTGGCTGGCCTGCTTGGGTGTGGCTGGCCTGCTTGGGTGTATAAGGCCTGCTGCAGGTGGCTGCTGGCCTTGCTTGGTGTGGCTGCTGGCTTGCTTGGGTGTGGCTGCTGGCCTGCTTGGGTGTGGCTGCTGGCCTGCTTGGGTGTGGCTGCTGGCCTGCTTGGGGCGTGGCTGCTGGCTTGCTTGGGTGGCTGCTGGCCTGCTTGGGTGTGGCTGCTGGCCTGCTTGGGTGTGGCTGCTGGCCTGCTTGGGTGTGTGGCTGCTGGCTTGTTTGGGTGTGGCTGCTGGCCTGCTTGGGTGTGGCTGGCTGGCTCTGCCGGGTGTGGCTGCTGGCTTGCTTGGGTGTGGCCATGGCCTGCTTGGTTGTGGCTGCTGGTCTGTTTGGGTGTGGCTGCTGGTTTGCTTGGGTGTGGCTGCTGGTCTGCTTGGGTGTGTGGCTGCTGGTCTGTTTTGGGTGTGGCTGCTGGCCTGCTTGGTGTGCTGGCTTGTTTTGGTGTGGCTGCTGGCCTGTTTGGGTGTGGCTGCTGGCCTGCTTGGGTGTGGCTGCTGGCCTGCTTGGGTGTGGCTGCTGGCTTGTTTGGGTGTGCTGCTGGTTTGTTTGGTGTGGCTGCTGGCCTGCTTGGTGTGGCTGCTGGCTTGCTTGGGTGTGGCTGCTGGCCTGTTTGGGTGTGGCTGTTGGCCTGTTTGGGTGTGGCTGCTGGCCTGTTTGGGTGTGGCTGCTGGCTTGCTGCGTGGCTGCTGGCCGGCCGCGGCTGCTGGCCTGCTTGGGTGCGTGTGGCTGCTGGCCTGCTTGGGTGTGGCTGCTGGCCTGCTTGGGTGTGGTTGCTGGCTTGTTTGGGTGCGGCTGCTGGCCTGCTTGGGTGCGGCTGCTGGCCTGGGTGTGGCTAAGGCCTGCTTGGGTGTGGCTGCTGGCTTGCTTGGGTGTGGCTGCTGGCCTGCTTGGGTGTGGCCGCTACCGCTGGCAGTGGCTGCTGGCCTGCTTGGGTGTGGCTGCTGGCTTGTTTGGGTGTGTGGCTGCTGGCCTGTTTTGGGTGTGGCTGCTGGCCTGTTTTTGGGTGTGGCTGCTGGCCTGCTTGGGTGTGGCTGCTGGTTTGCTTAAGTGTGGCTGCTGGCTTGTTTTGGGTGTGTAGTTGCTACCCGCCGCGCTGCTATTTGTTTGGGTGTGGCTGCTGGCCTGTTTTGGTGGCTGCTGGCCTGTTTGGGTGTGGCTGCTGGCCTGTTGGGTGTGGCTGCTGGCTTGCTTGGGTGTGGCTGCTGGTTTGCTTGGGTGTGGCTGCTGGCCTGTTTGGGTGTGGCTGCTATTCGTTTGGGTGTGTAGCTGCTGGCCTGCTTGGGTGTGGCTGCTGGCTTGCTTGCGTGGCTGCTGGCCTGCTTGGGTGTGGCTGCTGGCCTGTTTGGTGTGGCTGCTTATTCGTTTGGGTGTGGCTGCTGGCCTGCTTGGGTGTGGCTGCCTGCAATGAATCTTTAGCGAAACAAGACTCTGTATTATTATTGTGTCTTTTTTCAATGATGTTTTGATTTTAACCTTGGCAACCCCTTCGTAGGTAGTCTCTTTAAGGCATTTATCGACGTGGGTATACCAATCCATGCATATCCATTATGGCGGCGTATGCAGATATGCATTTTACACATATTGATGCATGAATTATATACATAGTGTATATACGAATATAAGTCTACACCAACACAATATACCTACCTGGACGAATAGTCAAGACTTGATTAAAGCACACACACAATATCATCATCACACACACACACACACACACACACATTTATCATACATATATATATATATATATATATATATATATATATATATATATATATATATATATATATATATGGTATATATATATATATATATATATATATATATATATATATATATATATATATATATATCCACAAAAACACATACACTACTACTACTTTGCTGTCACTCTGAATCGAGTATGACGATCATCCAGCTATGAGACAATGATATTAGTTACTCGATATTTAACCTTCGTTGGAGAGCTCTGAGGTGACTAGAGAGGCCGATACGGGACCAGCAGTGTCGTCCACAGATGTTGCACGTGTGGAGGGTTACATCTAGTGCGGGAGTGACGGCGGCAGCGTCTTTCCGTCGTTGGCGCTTGTCTGCCTTGGTATGCAGTCGGGCTAACTTGAAACTACTGACACCTTCTCGTGCGGTGCTGTTCCAAGCGTTACAGTGTGGAGTGATCGTTTCCCAGGCAAAGGGGTCGATTTGGCACTTTTCAGGTTTGTCTTAAGATTATCCTAATACATTTTCAGTTGCCCGGTAGTGTTGCATATACTATTCGTTGGGTAACTGTAAAGTAGCTGCTTTGGTAGTCTACTGCCGTCCATGCGAGTAACATGGCCAGTCCAACGTAGTTGTTAATGGATAATGGTAGCCACGATGCTCCTACAGTTGGTGTCAGCTAGAATACTGGCATTTGTTCTCTTGTCTTCTCAGCGAACTCGGAGGATGGAACGTAGACTACGATGGTGAAAGTTTTCAAGTGCCTTGAGGTGCCTCCTGTATTTGACGTGCAACTTTGCAGATAATTTCAGCTGCCCACAGCTGAAGACACGGTTATGGAGTCTGCCAAAGGCTCGAGATGCACATCTGATCTAATGTTGAATCACTACATTGATGTCTACGGTGGTGGACAGGTGGGAGCTGAGATACTCAAAGTGCGTAACATTCGAGAAATGTAGTACTGTTAAGCTGGATGAATGGTGAAGGTGTGGCATTCTGTGTACCGCCGGCAAGGGCGTGGGCTTGTAACACACGTCTTGCCCACGGTGCCCACCGTTTCTCTGTGGATGTTGGTCACACGAGAATAACCCGTTATAGTACCTCCTTCTTTCCTCACACAGCCAAACTGTTGAATGCTCTGCCTTCTTCTTTGTTTCCATACTTATACAATCTGCCTCACTTTAAAAAGCTGGTTTTCCGGCATCTTCGTGGTGTAGATTAACACAGTATATTTTTTCTTCTCTATTTTCAATTACTTTCTTTTCTTTTCTTTTTCGCCCCCCACGCCCAGTTGTGCGTCGTTTGACCTGTGCCCGGGTGGGCTAATTCCCGCAAAAAAAAAAAAACCGTACATTCACCTTAAGGCCTAAGTGCATAAGCATCTGTGTAGGAGATGAGGATCTCATGTAGGTCACGTTCAGTGTGAGTGACAAGGGTAAGGTCGTCTGCATACTGAAGTTCAGTAGTGGAAGCTGCAGACACATTTGTTCCTGCCTGGTGTCATCTTATGTTGAAAAGGCCCTTCATCTGGTACTGGATGTCCACCCCGCCGGCTAAATTGGCCCTGGCACGAGTAAGAAAGGCAGCCAAGAAAATGGAAAACAGGGTTGGGGCACATCCTTGTTTTATTCCCACTTGAATGGGGAAAAACTCGGAGTTGGTGCCCCTGTGTAGGACACTGCCGTTCATGCCTTCGTGGAGTTGCCTCACAATGGCAATGAATTTTGGTGTGCAGCCAAAATGGCTGAGGGTAAGCAAGAGGGCTTACCTGTTGAGCGAGCCGAAGGCCTTGGTTAGGTCGATGATGGCCATGTACAGGTCACGACGTTGTTCTCTGCACTTTTTCTGTATCTGGCGGACAGATCATGTCAGTGGTGCCACGTGATTGTCTAAAGCCCTATTGAGATTATGGAAGGAAGTTTTCCACCTCAGGAAGACGTCTAATAGGAGAACTCTGGCGATAATCTTGCCAGCTATGGACAGCAGCGAGATCTGGCTGTAGCTGCCATAACCTGAGCGGTCTCCCTTGTTCTTATAAATATTGATGATGGAGGCGTCTTTAAAGCTTGGGGGATTTCCTCCTTTTCCATATATTTTATATATTCTCCAGGAGAAAGTGGAGACGGCTGGTAATCAGAGGTCCTCCTGCTTTATACACTTTTGCTTGGATTCCATCAGGCCCAGAGACTTTGTTATTTTTCATATGTTTGATGGCAGTAGCTACCTCATCCAGGGATAGGATAGCTGAGGTGGGTTCAGCTCTGGATGCTGAGGGACCTGCTAGGTAGTCAGGACATCTACATCGGTGTTTCGATTGAGCAGCAAAAGGGAAAGGCTCTTTCCAGTGTTGAAGGATGCCTTCTCCCTCTTTAATTTGGAAGTTACCTTTGGATGAGCAGAAGGGGGCTGACCATGAGTGATTGGCCCATAAAATGTTTTAGTTGAATTAAAAAACTCGCACATCTTGTGTTGTTCTGCAAGTGCTTGTATTCCACAGGCTTTATTTTGAAACTAGTCCTTCTTTAGATTGCTAAGTTCATGCTGGGCCACCGCTTTCTTCTTGTGGATGGTATCAGCTTTGGTTCAAGACTGAGGGTTGTTCTGCCAGTCAGTTAAAGCAGGGTCTCTCTGTAGGTTTTTGTCATGATAGTGTAGGGAATACCCCATTTGGCACTGGGATTTTTTGTTGTTGTTGCTGGGTTGTTTATCAGCCCATGTTTGAGCTGCTCTCTCAAGGCATGTGCTACTACTGGATCCTCCAGACGCTTAGTGTTAAGACCTCTTCTGGAGGCTTGTTGCCCTCGCCGTTTTTTGGCGATGTGAAGTGAATGCTTGGCCCTGATGAGCCGATGAT